GTGCTCCAAATTATGCTTGAACACCATTGCGTCTTACTGGAAGGATATGAAGACCCTTTGTTATTCTGTTATCAATGCTTTAATATGAATCATCGTTGAATTATTGCAACCTATTTCTTTATACGTTGGAACGCTGGAACCATCATGAAAACATTTGAGATTAACCTCAGTGCAAACTATCTCTTCTGCTGTCTTTCCTTGCACTAAAAAGAATCATTTCATTTATTTAGATTGTAATGAGCTGGCACTTCCCCTTCTTTGATCTTCTCCAAACAATTTTGTTCAAGCCTATTAAATAATGAGTCATTCCTGCATTTCATCTCCTGCACTACTGTATAAGTCTGCTAGACTACACCTGAATACTCAAAAGCCATCCAATCCAGCATTCTGTACGCCGCCCAGGCTCAATCTCATGAGATGGCCGACAATATAAATGTGATTAATAAATAAATAAAGCTCTCCCCACAGTGGCTAAAATGATATCCGAGAAGATATAAAACCATAGCTTCATTGAATGTGGAGCTGTTGCCTCCTCAAACTAATGAGTCAGGCCAAGAGAAAACCTAAACATTGACTTGCCTGATATCTGAAATTAATCAAAAAATAATTATGAATGACTCTGAATGCTCTCAAGTCATTTATGGAGTAAGGTTTCTCTTTCCAAAATTAAACATTACAATTCAGCAGGCAAGGGATGACTTGGGCAAGCTAAACAAGGTCAGGCATCGTTCATGCTGAGAGAAGAGATCACCAAGGGATCAAAGACTGGACTGAAAAGTTAAGAAATATACTGGGGGGGGGGAAGCAACAGCAAACCGACTTCCATGCTCTTCTCAAGAAAGCTAGATGAGAATGTCCATGAGGTCACCAAAAAGCGGACTTAACTCAGAGGAGACCAACTGTGAACACATTTGGAATCTTCCTTTTGCATCTGTTTTTAAATCATGATGATTTGTTATCACCACAGTCAGTTAAATTCTATAGCAGTATTCCTCAACCCAGGCATCTTTAAGATGTGTAGACTTTCAACTCCCAGAGTTACAAGTTCAAGATGCTTTTTGCAAACATGTTTCAGAGGTGGTTTTCCATTTACATATTTGAAAACCTTTTTATTAGTAATGTGTCAAGCTTGAAGCCCGCTTTGCTGATGCAATAATGATCGCTTCTTAGCTTGCCAATGAACTTGGGGGGGAGGATGAGGAAATAGAATGCAGCTACAAAGATAAAGAAGGCAGACTGTGAGAATCAAGGACGATTCACCAGGTGTCTGACCCAACTCACAGAGATATTTTCTCATAACAATGTACAGTAATTGCTCCTAATTGGCCATTGTGACCTGTTCATGGGTGCGAAGGAGAATTCTATTCTTTTACTATAGGGGTTTGGGTTGGGGTTTGCCAGAGCTGGTTTTGCTTTCATACATGCTGAAATGATGTACTCAATAAAGTTGTACATTAAGAGATCGGAATGCCTTGAATAGTAAATAATGCATACCAAATAATGGATGATGACTGCTTACTAAGAAAATTCAGTTTCAACCATGAAATGCCTTGGTAATTTGGGGGGGGGATTGCAAACACTGAGGTGGTCCTCAATCTTTTCATATCCACTGGTTCTGCTGACACTGAACAGTCAGTAGCTACTTGTGAATTTTGCAGCACCAAGTTGAAAAAAAATAAAATGGTCCCGAAAGAGCAGGCAAGTAAAGACCCAAAGCCTAATCCTCAGGACTAGAAGATATCAGGTTTGGTGATGTGGCAATATTACATAAGTAGGAAGAAATCAATTCAGAATGAGGTTGCTACTTTCTGAGCAAGAATTGATATCTTTCGGAATTAATTTATTTTGCTTTTGATGGCATCATCAAGAGCGAAGATTAGCTGTCTATTTCCCCATGTCGTAGAGAACACATCCACTATAAACAAAGCTGATATAATTCTAAGAGGAGAGATAATAACCTTAATGATCAGGCATTAAATCCTGATTCATCTGATGGCTCATTTATCAGCTCCAGCTCCGTCCAAACACAGCACTGTCAAAGGAACTAGTATAATTACAACAGAGAAACCTTTAATTATCCCATAAATTCGCTTGTTGTCATTTAGCTGGCTGAATGGCTGGAATTAGCGATGGTCTCAACAAAATCAGACCCAAAAAAAGAGGATAGGAGAAATATGTAACCTATTTGCAACATTTTCCTGTACTAAAAATTTTGGTGTTTCAGAATTTGTTCGGTATTACATTTAATTTCTGCAATTGTGTCGCCAGAGGGCTGGCCTGCAGATTTGTCCTCTTCTCCATTTAGAGAAATACCTGTACACCCCTGTTACTCAACCTTGCCATCTTTAAGATGGGTAGATTTCAATACAGTTGCCAGAAATGAAGACTGCCTTGAACAGGGATGGATGGATGGATGGATGGATAGATGGATTTCTAGGACCATTTCTTTGGATGCATCCTCTTTAAACTGTTCTAATTTTATTTTACTTGGGGATTAGGGAATATTTGTGGGAATATTTTTGGAATTGGCTTGTCCTTGCCTCCTTCCTAGGACTGAAAGAGAGTGACTGATCCAAGGTCACCCAACTGGCTTTATGGCCAAGGTGGAACTAGAACTCATGTTCTCCCAGTTTCTGTCCAGGGGCCTTAAGACTGGCTGTCTTGCTCTTCTAGTACCTTTGCAATAAATATTGCCAGGAGTGTAATACTTAGCACACCACTTTAAAAGAAAGTAGAAATTGTACCCTGATCTTTGCTATCTGTGTTCTCCATTGAGCAACAGAGTTGATGAGATCTCCCAACAGATGGGTGTTCAGAACTTACATTCAACAAACAGGGGAACTCTCTCCCCTTAATTATCTTTAGCCAAGTTTCTTTAAAAAAAATCAAAATATTGCTCTATTTATTATAATATTGCTGTATTCCAGAAGACATCATAACATCTCACCAGCCACTTCTTCCTCTTACCTATTCTTACTGGGGCTTGTACCAATTGGCCCTGGACATAGGCCATAGATGGTAATTTCTAACAACTCACATGCTTTGTTAATACATGTTGCTGTATTGTTGTAGGCTGAAAGTATACCATATGGTTTCCATCAAGAGCTAAGCCATTTATTGTTGACGTTTGTCAGCTTTGGTAATGAGTATGCTGTTTTCCATTTTCTCAAAGATCATTTGTTTATCTGGTTACACCTTACTTGCAAACCAATTCCATAGACTGGTTCTATCTAAGGTCTGTTAGCATAATAATGGGGATATCAGAAGAAGATAATGGGGATATTGCTAGGATATGAATGTCTCGTTCTTGAAGTAAATTATCTTCTTTCTTCATCTCTGCAGACAATGGACAATCCAAAATATGAGCTCATCATAGAAGCAAAGGACATGGCTGGACATGAAGTTGGGTTGACTGGGACTACCACTGCAACAATCATCATTGATGATAAAAATGACCATGCTCCAGAATTCACCAAGAAAGAGGTAAATGTTTATTTCAAAATGCACAAAAGACAAGAGGTTGATTAGCTTAAACCTGAATCAAAACTAAAGCAGAAATAAAGTTAATGAGAACCTTAGAAAAAAGTTCTATTTCTTACCAGGTTGAATCTAATACCTTCTATTTTAAAAGGTTAGTCGACATTGTTAAATAAACATCAGTTAAGCAGTTCTATATATCTATTAGCTAGTCATTCCTAAAACTATACATTTCTGAAATATTAATTACCAAGAACTAGGAAATGACAGCAATATCTATGGAATCTCGGTTATGGGTAGGACAAGACAAATGTATGGGGTAGACATGGGGGATGGAAAAATCGCTTCAAAATACATAGCAGAGTGGTTAATATTAGCCATACTAATATAAATTATTTAACTGGTCCTGAAATATATGAATTTTTCATGGCAGTAGGTATTATTGTTTTGTACAGTCCAAATTTATTTCTCTGGGGTTTTTTTTAAGTTGGAGTAAATTTTCATTTGAATCAAAAGCTGCAATATGAAACTTGATGGAAATCATCGTGTTTGTCAGCAGCCCAGCAAACAAATTCACTTTGAGAGGGGCTCATCTTGACAGGACCATAATGACTTTTCCAATATCAGAGCCTCTAAATTTAGTATCAATTTTCTTCCTTAAAAGATAGATTCTGTGATATCAGCTCTGTTTTCCCTAAAGGGAGGTGGTGGGAGAGAAAAAGAATACTTTTGTTGTAGAAAAGTGGAGTTCACTTATAACAGGGGAAATCAAACTAATGTTGGGTAGAACGAGAGGACACCGACAGAAATAAAAAATGGTGTGTATTTTAACTGTTTCTCAGAGTTCACATCGCATTTAAAGGTAAACCATGCATTTTTTTTAGCCATTTAGCTATTTAACTTTAATTTAGCCATTAAATGATAACCTAAGGATACATTTGAGGTGGAGAAGGCCAATAGTTTAGATGTCTTTAGAATAATGAGCTCTTTCTAAGATCTTTAGAAAGAGGATTAGATGAATGCTGCCTCCTATTAAATCCCATCTGTTGGTTTTAGCCTCTCCTCTAGAGGAATACACAATAAATCTGTTTCAGGATTAACTCCTAGTTTTGTAGGCATTTGTACAAACCACAATAACATCACAGACATAATTTGTGACATTTGCACAATGACATCCTGATGTACCTCTGATGTTTGCCCTTACATCATCTGGGGACACAGATGGCCAGCTCTGAGTTTATGGGAATTTTGGACACCAAAGTATCTTTTTGTCATTTCTCGGTGATCCTTGATAATAATAGGGCTGGACAGCTTAACCCAATCATGTAGATTTTCCACAATGTCCCTAATAGAAGAGAATATTTGAAGCTCAGGACTGAATTGTGGTGCACAGAGCACTGATGATGTATCCTAGTTTGGTAATGAAATGTCTGCAAGAAAACTACCAAGCTCGGAGAACACCAGAGACCCCACAGTGTCCCTAATATTTAGTCAAGGCCAGTCTCCAAGATCTACCCCATGCAACATCTCTATATAAACAATGGTTTGTGGAAACAAGAGTTTGTCCAGTCTGGATACCTGGCAAGTTAGTTATTTTTTACGGAAAATGAAAGTCTATGAGAAGGACAAAAGAACATGATTGCATTTCTTTATTTGCTTAATTCAAGTTACAAATTTAAACAAATTAATTAATGCGTTTAATTGATTCAACTTATATGACTGCCCACTTAAAGCAAGTGATTTTGAGTAGCTACATAACTTGATTCTTATAATAATATAAAGTGGTTTTGAAGGAAGATTTACTGATGTGTTACCATTTCTACATTGCTAACTCCAGAAGGAAAAAGGGTGTGAGGCAATTGTGTGTCCTTTCCTGAAAACAGCAATCAAACCCCCATGTCACAGTTTTAAGCAAACACCTTTTAATGTCTTAAACTGCAATGCAATAGACCAATTCCATTGTAAAAAAAATAAAAAAAATAAAATCAATTCCAGCTTTCAAAGGAGGTAAAGATAAGTATGCTTCCATGCCCAGCCCCTCAGAACATTATTACAAGCCGACTGTACTTAACACAGGCTGTGGATTGGTGGAGAAGGATGGCCGGTGCTAAGAAGTGAATTAATTAACGGAAAGAAAATTAAATCACGACACAAATTGTAGGCAGTGTCAGCCATTAATTGAATTTGCCTCCAGGTGTGGCCACCGTTTCCAGTTAAAGTCTAAGAAAGTAAAAAAAAAAAAGAATCAAGTCTAAAAATAGCCAGTGAAAGTAAATTAGTCTCATTAACTAAAGAAACAGTGGTGTGACCTTTTCAGTTGTAATTACAGGTGCCATGAAATACACTTTTTAAATGTTAGCAGGCAACAGGTGAGCACTTTCCCTCCCCCCCACGATACTTTTCTCAGCCCGTGAAAGGCAGGAGCGAAGAGATGGGATTTTATACAGGTAATCCTTGACTTACGATCACAAAATTTATGTTGCTAATTGAGAAATTTGTTAAGCGAGTTTTGCCCCATTTTATGACTTTTCTTGTCACATTTGTTAAGTGAACCATTGCAGTTGTTAAATTAGCAACACGATTGTTAAGTGAATCTGGTTTCCCCATTGACTTTGCTTGTCAGAAGATCGCAAAAGGGGATCCCGTGACCCCGTCATAAATATGAGTCAGTTGCCAAGTGTTTGAATTTTGATCATGTGACCTTGGGGAGGCTGCAAGTGTGAAAAATGGTCAGTGCCGTTGTAACTTTGAATGGTCACTAAATGAACTGCCGTAAGTTGTACCTGCAGTTTGCAAGCTGAGTTTCTGAGAAAGAAGGGGGGGAATCAGAGAACTGGCACGGGACACTGAAATGCAGAGATGTTTCCTTGGAAGCAAGCATTGGACGTCCAACTCACGTGGAAATCCTGGTTTATTTACGGCCGGGCTTCCGCCTGGCAAAATAGAGCTTTAAAATCAGAGCTAAAATAGTCTTCAGCCTTCATGGTTCCATTAGATAGCTCTGCTTCCCTTTCAGCTCAAAAAGAAAACTATAAATGTCTACCTCTTCTCGGAGAACGGAGAGACTAAAAGAGACGGAAAATAAAGACGAAAAAACCGTCAGGAAATGAAAAGAAAGTTCTATAAGGAAAGTCGGCGGAGAGAAGTTGACTGGATGTAACAGTTGTCTTTTGTGTCACCTCAAAACGGACCTTCATCGATACCTAGGGAGAGAGAGTCCTCCTCCTCCTCCCCCTTTTTTTGAAGGCGGGGTTGCTTTAAGTTCCTTGGAAAGGCTGAGAAATTCTTCTTGCTAAAAGTCAGATCTGTTGCACCAGGAATGCAGCTTTGCTTGGAGAAAAATTCGGCAGAGCAATGCCACAGGAATATGTGTGTTTTTTTTTAGTTTGCTTTAGTTTTGTTTGTCCTCGACTTGCAATCATTCGTTTAGGGACTGTTCAAAGTTACAATGGCAGTGAAAAAATTGACCTATGATCGGTTCTCACACTTACTATCGTTGCAACGTTCCTGTGGTCACAGGATCAGAATTCGGACACTTGGAAACTGGCATGTACTTGTGACAGTTGCATTGTCCCGGGGTCATGTGATCACCATTTTGTAACCTTGCCAGCTGGCTCCCGACCGTCAAAGTCAATGGGAGAAGCTGGATTTGCTTAACAAACCACGTGATTCGCTTAAGACTTGCAGTATTTCTCTCAATGTGGCACAATGGTCATAAAATAAAGCAAAACTCACTTAGCAACTGTTTTGCTTAGGGACAGAAATTTGCAGTCATAAGTTGAGGATGACTCTAGTTCATGGGTCAGCAACCCACGGTTCTTTGAGCCTTCTCCTACGGCTCCCAGCCTCCTCCGCCATTTGCAGAGAGAAAGACAGAGACAGAGAGAGGCACTTGTGCTTCCCTTCTCTCTCTCTCTCTCTCTCTCTCTCTCTCTCTCTCTCTCTCTCTCTCTCTCTCTCTCTCTCTCTGTGTGTGTGTGTGTGTGTGTGTGTGTGTGTGTGTGTGTGTAAAAAAAAAGAGAGTGGCCTCACGCTGTTCTCAGACAAGCTGACAAGCTTATTGGGCAGGGCTCCCTCCTTTGCTGCATCTCAGCAGAAAGCAGAAAGCAGCATATCTCTCTCTCTCTCTCTCTCTCACACACACACACACACACACACACACACACACACACACACTTTCACACTGAGTGGGGGAAGAGGACTGGCAGACCAAGGGCAAGAGAGAGCCAGCCCAATAAGAATGTGTGTTAGCTTGTCGGAGAACAGTGTGAGGCCAGCTTGCCAGGTGAGCAGAAGATCGGAGAGAGGGAGAGAGAGAGGGAGGGAGGGAGAGAGAGAGAGAGAGAGAGAGAGAGAGAGAGAGAGAGAGAGAGAGAGAGAGAGAGAGAGAGAGAGAGAGAGAGAGAGAGAACTCATGCACAGCAGCCTCTATTTCTTTTTAATTAAACTCTTCAATCAAGCTCCACTGCTCTTGTGTGTGCGCGCACACGCACGTTTGCGGCTCCCAATGTTTTCTTTTCTCTGGGAAACAGGTCCAACTGGCTCTTTGAGTGTTTAAGGTTGCCGACCCCTGCTCTAGTTGCAACCATATTCTGCATCTAGCACTGTTTTTGTTGTTGTTGTTGTTTTAAATGTTCTCATAGGGAGTGATGGGGAAAAAATATTTTCTGAAAAATACAGCCGTTCAAAGAAGAGGCCACCCTACTGGGTGATTTTTTTTAGTTTTGATAGATAGTTCCAAATTGCTCACGTCTCTTTATATGACAAATGGAAGTGTTAAGGCCCCATCATTAATTCGTTTGCTTTCATCTGCGAGGCCTGGGTCATAATTCCGGAGGCAGAAACGGAGCATCTGGAATACACTTAAGAAGCATCTTTTTAATGTCCCTGACAACATGTCTATTAGCGAAATTGACAGCTATTAATACCAAACAGCCAGAAAGAAGTTTACTACGTTAAAAACAGAAGTAGCAGTTTCCCCCTCTCTGCAAATTAAATATGCATGT